AATCCCCGTGTCGATTTGTTTAGAAGAGAACCATTATATGAACTCTTCTCTTCTAAGCTTTTATATACTGAGAGACCCATTATGTCCAGCCGACCCATCCACGCCCCTGCTACGATCCCGTTTCTCTTCATTCATCGTGTTAGGACTTTCAGTTTTCCCGTAGGTCTGTTGTTATCAACCTCTAAACCAGGTCTTGGCAACTCTACCAAGACATCGTCAAGTGTGAATAGACGCCCCACACAGGACAAATTGAAGAGGAATGAACTCGTAAATATGTGTTCTCTTTTTGAACACGAAGTCTTTAAATTAGTTGCAGCTCTCGAGTCCGTTCTCCGCCCTCAATTTGTCCTCGGGTATTGAGGAAATCAGAATAGAGAAAAACCACTTCAGGGTGTCGCGAAGAGATGCCGAGGGCGTGTTGGCTCTGTTTGGGGTCTTTTTTGTGTGTGTGTAAGTAGAGTGAAACAGGTGCTATTGTTGTACATTCGGGCAGCCTATCTATCTATCTATCTATCTATCTATCTATCTATCTATCTATCTATCTATCTATCTATCTATCTATCTATCTATCTATCTATCTATCTATCTATCTATCTATCTATCTATCTATCTATCTATCTATCTATCTATCTATCTATCTATCTATCTATCTATCTATCTATCTATCTATCTATCTATCTATCTATCTATCTATCTATCTATCTATCTATCTATCTATCTATCTATCTATCTATCTATCTATCTATCTATCTATCTATCTATCTATCTATCTATCTATCTATCTATCTATCTATCTATCTATCTATCTATCTATCTATCTATCTATCTATCTATCTATCTATCTATCTATCTATCTATCTATCTATCTATCTATCTATCTATCTATCTATCTATCTATCTATCTATCTATCTATCTATCTATCTATCTATCTATCTATCTATCTATCTATCTATCTATCTATCTATCTATCTATCTATCTATCTATCTATCTATCTATCTATCTATCTATCTATCTATCTATCTATCTATCTATCTATCTATCTATCTATCTATCTATCTATCTATCTATCTATCTATCTATCTATCTATCTATCTATCTATCTATCTATCTATCTATCTGTCTATCTGTCTGTCTGTCTATCTGTCTATCTATCTATCTGTATCTGGTCTGTCTGTCTGTCTGTCTGTCTCCATAACATCCGTCTGTCCATAGGTCAGTCAGTCCATCTGTCTGTCTGTCTGTGTGTCTGTCCTTTCAATGAGAAATGGCACTTTATAATCGCTACAATTAATAAGAGTTACAATTCATTTGATGACGATATGTTTGGACACTTCCGGAATAGTTTTTAAAACAGCAGAACACACAAAATTCAGTGAATTCTTTACAAAACATAAAAGAGCGCTGATAAAACGCCTGGCATTGCTGATGATTTGTCAGTACATCAATCACTGGAAGTGACGTTACTTACTGTAATAATGGAAGTTAACTCCTCTTCCGAACAATACCCATTTTTTTTTTTTTTTAATTTATCCAAAACTGGATATTTTGAATATGTACTTTTGTGGGCCTACGGTACATCGACGTCATCGAGACGTAGAAATCTTAGTCACACTGTTCATGCAATAATAAGCAAAGTGGTTTATGTGTATTTAATATGTGTTTACAATGATTTCCGCGATCGATTTGTCTTTTAACTTAAAGAATATATACACCCAGCTCGGGGCTGGGGACACTTGAACCATTTTTCAGGTAATTCCGATAAGAAACGTTTGATATTCGTTCTTTTTGAATGTTCGTCCTCCCGCCAAGAACAGACTGATGACGAATGTTGGATTTACACTGCGGCCACGCCACAGAACATACAAACAGTAGGTTGTGCAGCGTAACGATGCAGTAGCCACGTTGTAGTTGCTGTCGGGTGGTGACGTATCTTAACTATCCGTCTGCAGTCACACACATACGCGCGCACTTATCCACACACACACACACACACACACACACACACACACAATTAGAGTCAACATGAGATGCTAGAATTGAGTTTCTGTCCGCGCTGTCAGCTTGTCTAACTAGTTCTGTTCTTTGACGTCAAAGTTTTCGATCCCCCCCCCCCCCCCATTTTTTTTTTTTGAGAGAGAGAGAAAGAGAGAGAGAACCCTGACTACCAGTTATTGGAAGCAGAGAATGTGAGCGTGTACAAGTGGATGACACCAAGAGAGATAGCAGTACAAAGACAGAGACGGCGTGACAGGGAGAATATTTTCTAAGCATTACAGTTGAGAGAATTGGAGAAAAAAAAAGGGGCGGGGGAGGTCGAGAAGAGAGTTGTTATAAAGAGATACTGCGGAGAAAGATTCAATTGATCATAGATCTCCAAAATGCTGTCTTTCTAAAGATCTATTTCCCAGTATAGTTACCATTATGTTTGTTTGTCTATATTTTTGTTCTTCAATTCTTCCTTTTTCCCGTTCACCGGCTGTAAACTCCGGAGGAAAGTTCTGGTTGTTCGTACACCTCTGGATTTTTGTCTTGCTTCAGAACCTGAGTGTTGTGTGCACAATTGTTTTACAAGTCTAACATCTGTATGCAGACTGTTAGTTCCTTGCCTCTCAGACAGATGCACTCCGACTTTGAAAGTTGCCACCAGTTAGTGTACTCCTACGACATCTTGTTTTCCCCCACAATGGATCCCTAGAACCCACAGGGTGGGGGGGGGAATAATGTTCTACTGAACTTGACAGATGCTTGAGAAGTCTTCAGTATTTGCAACAATAGAAAAGACACCCTGCGCAACACGCACCATAGGGGAGCTCTTTGCTGTTGGTCTCATGTCGGAGAGCATGAAGAGACCTCTCGCCGTCAAAAGATCAGAGAGAGAGATGGAGAGAGAGATAGAGAGAGAGAATGAAGGAGAAAACGCTGGACGATTTGATATGCCTCCGCGATCATTCTTTAGTGTCAGTCTGTTACATATTGTTCTTGGAGAAGACTGACTACCTACAACAACAGTACGTAGTTAGGAAAGAAGATAGGTAGGAGATATAGGTATATAACAATATACAGACAGACGGTCATAGATACGGTGACAGACAGACAGACAGACGGTCATAGATACGGTGACAGACAGACAGACGGTCATAGATACGGTGACAGACAGACAGACGGTCATAGATACAGTGACAGACAGACAGACGGTCATAGGTACAGTGACAGACAGACAGACGGTCATAGATACAGTGACAGACAGACAGACGGTCATAGATACAGTGACAGACAGACAGACGGTCATAGATACAGTGACAGACAGACAGACGGTCATAGATACAGTGACAGACAGACAGGCGGTCATAGATACAGTGACAGACAGACAGACAGACAGACGGTCATAGATACAGTGACAGACAGACAGACGAGTGGTGAAAGAGAGATGAATCACATATGTTTTAGTCTTTACAAATATTTCTCTACGTGTTCTCGAACATCGTTTAGATAGTGACAGACAGAAAAAGACACAACTTCAAGGGAGATCATAGATACAGTACAGACAGACAGACAGACGGTCATAGATACAGCAACAAATACCGAGCAAGGACAGGGGACAGAGAGAGATAGACAGGCAGAGAGAGAAATTATGGAGGAAGATAGAGAGGGAGAGCGAATGAAAGAGAGAAATACAGAGTCTTTACAAATATTTCTCTACGATAATTATGAAAAACTGACGACCTTACAGCGACAAATACCGAGCTAGGACGGGGACGCCATGACAGGCAGAGAGAGAAATTATGTTTTCTTGTCATATCTGAAAACCTAGCCGGCGACTATTTTCTACAAATGACATCGCCCGGTTGTTGGATCGTTGCAGCAATTAGGTATCGAACCTGCCAGGAAAAGACAAGATCTGGCTGTCCCTTCAGCCAAACTGATCTAACTATCGATGCTGCCACCAGGGAGACGTATCGCTTGTGCACACAGATGCCTTCCAAGATACCCGAGTATTTAACTAGCATATCGAATTTGTGTAGAAGTGTACAACAGTAATTGAGCCGTTCCACTACTCCGTTTGCACACCCTTGCTCCGATAGTAGGAATTCACGATTTGAAAATTACTGTTGTTTTTCTTTTCTTTCTCCTCGTTTAAAACCATAGTTTTACAATTTTTTTGTAAAGTTGAACGGCCGTTCTTATATATTTTTTTTTTCTGGAACTCTTCAGTCGTTTCCAGTGAGTGAGTTCTCAAGACGTGTGCCTGCTGGTTTTTCTTTGTTCGCGCTTTTTTTTTTTTTTTTTTTTTTTTTTCAACGATAATCTTTTGTCCAGTAATATATTACTGTTGTCTCCGACATTTGTCAGGTTTCAACCCCCCCCCCCCCCCCTTTCTTAACCTCCTTTTTTAAAATATGACAAAACACCCCCTTACAACATGAGGACCAAAAAATCCTAAGTACTGTTAAAAATAACTTGGCTAAATACATCAGTAAAATGCAAACTGTCACACAACAAACGAAACAATCCCCAAAAATTGGTAATACAGTGTCCAACTATCAGTGTGATTTTGGACACTGCTTTGTTTGGATGCTATCTGCTGTTTGTAGTCTGTGCTGTTCAACAAGGTACAACGGATATCACACCGGATTTTTATTTATCTTTCAGCGCAGTATGACTGTTATTATTATACTATTAAGCTAGGATCTACCACTCGCCACCCACCCGCTCAGCGTCACTCTCCTCCTTCACAGGCTTGTTGCTAGGGAAATGTTTACGACTTTGATGAGAAGAGGATGGGCAGAGATTTGTCTAAGTAGGCAGTCCCCTTATCCTCCTCCCTCCCCCTCCCCTTAACAGTTTCCTGAGGTGACTGCAACACGAGTGAAAGAACATATCAACGTTGTTTTAACACTCAAAAATATATTTTTTTTAACCAAAATAAAGTGACTTGATCCACCCCACCCACCCGTCACAGAACACACAGCAGAACCAGTCAACTCATCTCGTACTAACCTGTGTTTGAGTCAGGCCCAAAGAGGCCGCTAGCTCCGCCCGTTCGGGCAAGGCCAAATATTGCGTCCTCTGAAACCGCCTGTTGAGCTGTTGTAGTTGCAAGCTGGAATATATGGTGCGCGGTTTGCGCATTTTCTTGCCTTTTCCATTTATTCTGAGCTGTTCTTCCACTTGGCTTTTATCTGTGAAGAAATCGAAAAGAAAAAATCAGAACATAATGCGACATGGATTGATGGAAAACATTAATAAGTGCATAAACAAAAATGGACAATCAACATTATCATCTTTAAACGTAGTTACGCGTAATAGAATGTTCAATGCAATCGATTGATAATTATCTACTTCTCGATTCTCCGCCTCCTCTTCTTCTTCTTCTTCTTCTTCTTCTTCTTCTTCTTCTTCTTCTTCTTCTTCTTCTTCTTCTTCTTCTTCTTCTTCTTCTTCTTTTTTCCTTCTGCCTTCGCCCTTGACAGGACGTCTGCCACATGTTGCTGACACATCTAGGCTGGGATAACTGAGTCATTTGACCAACACATCGGATTTCTTCATTCCTCACTTTTTATGACATACTTGTTGGGTGACAGTGCCCCCCCCCCCCTTTCTCTCTCTCTCTCTCTCTCTCTCTACCTCGCTCTCTTTTCTTTTTTCTCTTCTAACTACCCCCCCCCCCCCAAACAATTCAATCCCTGAACCCACACTCGGAATGAGATTAAGTGATGATATTTCTGTCCTTTAAAAGCCCTAATGATAAATTGTTGTTTCCCCAGACCAGCCCCCGAGTTATCCTGGAGCCCTTGTGCTGGCAAAGAAATCCATTGTTTGAAAGTTAAGAACCGCTGCGATAAGGAATTTTCTTAAAGAAAGGTTTAAAAGGGTCGTGGAATAAATCGGAGATAAGGCACTTTCCACCTTAATTAACTTGCCTGTCGCTCGGCCACGCCTACTTCTTGTCACTCGCGGGGAGTCGGTTGGCTGTTCTGCCTTTGATGTGATTCCCAGGAGAAGATTATGCCGCAAAGTTCAGAAGTATTGGTGACTGTTGGCTGGTTTGAGATTGATTCAAGATCAGGGCTGTCGAAGTTGGTACTTTTGTACAAACGTGGTACTATTCAACCCGTACAGAGCAGAACTGTACTTTTGGTACCACCTCCCAATGGGTTGGAACGTTTAATGTTATGTTTGCCTAACAGCAGTTCTCTCCATCACGCCACTATTTGCTTCACTTAAAAAAAGTAGACACATGTGTTCGCCCACGTTTTACAGCTGACCAGAACAGCCCCTTGGCCCATATGATGGAGCAGGCTAAGGCTCAACAATAATAAGATTGTAGAGAAGTTGCTGTTGTTTGAAAACTTGTGTGTGTGTTTATAAACATTTACTTAATTTTTAATTATAATTAGAGCTTTGCTTTCTTTGAGTGTGTTTATGTACTTTTTCAGAAAGAAGGGGGGGGGGGGAAACAATTCGTACTTTTTTATCCAAATCTTCGGCAGCCCTGCTGGGGACATCAAGTTAATGGATGCCTTGCGCTCTTTTGGATTATTCAGACCAAGTCTGTCTGGGATACGAACTGACACGAAAGATCGGGTTTGCTTTTGCTCTACAAACAAAACGAACCGTTAGGTACCACCAATATGCCGTTCCTCTTAGTTTCATCACTATCATCACCACCATTACCACCACCATCATCATCATCATCATTATCACCACCACCGCCATTATTATCACCGTTATCATCATCATCATCATGACAGCTGACCTTCATCATCATTATGCGCCGTACCAATAAGAGCAGGCAGCCATCTCACATCCCGCCCATCTACATATCCAAGCCTTCCGGGAATTCCTCTCCTTGCGTCACTCTTGCTTTATTCCCATTAATAATGGACGCAGGGCAAGGTGAGGAAGACCACGCAAACATGGAAGGATGGCACTAAGAAGAACCTTAAAGAAACAAAGATCAGTGCATACACCACATTGGAAAAAGCTCCCCCCCCCCTGCTCCCCATTTTTTATCATCCCCCCCCCCACACACACACACACACACTTTGATAAGGTAACTATTTTTTTTAAATATCTAGAAGCCATGAGTTTTAGTTAACCCTTAGGCTCGGTATTATGGATATCGCAACCCTTCGGCCTTGATTCCATGATAAATACCGTAAATCTGGGAGAAAATGTGGCTTTTCTGCCTACCCCCGGGCGTGAACCCGGACCACAAGGAGTTCGTCACCCGGTCACCGGCGCAGTCCGGTTAAGCCAACTACGCTAGAGAGCCGGGCATGAGGTAACTATAGGCGGAGAAAAAGCAGAAGAATACAAACTCACACTCGCGCACGCTCTCCAAAAAAGGTGTAAACATAATTGAAGCAGTCAGGTAATCGAGGTCAGACGTATGGTATCGATCTGCAAAATCTGCACGGCTCCAGCTGAATAACTAGAATCGATCAAGCCCAGATATTCACGCAGTGATAATCAAACTGAACGACAAGTAAAAGTTTGATGACTGGTTCCGATTTCTGGTAGTGTATCTGTCAGGAGCGGCGCCGGGGTGTGGACCAGTTGGGGGGTAGGGTTGAGTGCATTTCAGAATCTTGTCTAATTTAGGCAAGTAAATCCAGGGAAATTTGACCAAAAAGCCTAACTAAATGGGGAAGCAGAAAAACGTGCACAAAGCAACATAAATAACGTGACGTTTCGGTCGGCAGATTTTGTCAAACAAGAAGTGAACTACACAAAGGTAACAACGAGGACAGGAGAGTATTTGTTATTTGTGTTGTTTTGTGCGCATTTTTCTGCTTCCCTATTTGATTAGGCTTTTTAGTCAAATTCCCTGGATTTCCTTGCTTTAGCTAGACTGCAGTCATCCCCCATATTTTTCCTAATTTAAACAGGACGTCGACCCTATTGACATTAGCCAGTTTTCCCCCACCCCACCCTTCTTTTCCGGTTGGAGCCTCTTTCTACAAAGATGGCAGAGAGGTTGAGGTGTTGGTTTTGGTCAGTTTCAGCCCTCGCCTTGACTGACCACTCGATTATGGGCTCCAACTCACCCAGGAGTCTTAAAATCCAACAGTTTTATCGGATATTTCTGAGTTACGGCTTTTGTCGTTCACGTCTTTTGCTGGCTAGTATTTATTTCTGGTGCTCATGCACGTGTCATAGATTCAACTGGCCTGGCCCCTAGACCAGTGTTCTTCAAGCTTTTTAACACCCGAGCATGGCCGACACCCAATACAGGATGATGAAATTGTTAACCGCATTATTTAGCCGCAGATCGTACTACAAACGTAGGTCGTATACCAAGTAAGATTTGTTCTGTCTACACCGAACGTATACCGAAGCTCAATGAATACCGAAGCTGAACGTATACCGAAGCTCAACGAATACCGAAGCTGAACGTATGCCGAAGTTCAACTAATACCGAAGCTGAACGTATACCGAACTACAACTATATCTTTGTTTTTCTCCTCTCTGATAGCTATCCCGCTTCTCTATCTGCCTCCCTGCATTTTTTATATCTGCTTTTCCTATGTCTCTCTCTCTCTCTCTCTCTCTCTCTCTCTCTCTCTCTCTCTCTCTCTCTCTCTCTCTCTCTCTCTCTCTTCTTACTCTGCCACTTCTCTTCCCCTCCCCGCGTTTCTCTAACTTTTCCTGACCCCCCCCCCCCGACCCTTTTTTTAAGTACCCCTCCCCCGTCTCCTTGCCATGCACCCTGGGTGGAGAAGTGCGGCACTTATTGTTGTCACACCCCCTCTAGGCCAGGAAAACAACATATTGCATTTCACGCGGAGCTGCCAATTTGCCACTTCCGGACCTTTCACCGCCAGCAGGCAGCGGGATCTGGCCAGGTTAGCGTCCGCAAGAGCTGCCATATAACCACGTGACACAGATCAGACTGTTAGTCTGTCTGCGTGACAGTCTTTTTTTTTTTTTTGGCCGTATAACGAGGTGACAGCTTTGTCTGCCAGTCTGACTGTGTTACAGTCTGTCTGTTTATTTATTCGCCCGTGTCTGTCATAAAACGAAGTGACACAGTTATGTCTTGTATTATGTTTTGGTCTGTCTACCCATGTCTGTCGTATAACGATTTTACACACTTCTGCCTGGCACTTCTGTCTGTGTGAAAATATGTCTGCTTATCTGTTCTTCCGTATCTGTCGTATAACGATGATTCTGTTCTGTTTGATATTCTATTTGTCTGCCTGCACATACATCCTGTCTGACAGACAGACAGACAGACAGACAGACAGACAGACAGACAGACAGACAGACAGACAGACAGACAGACAGACACACACACACGCGCGCGCACGCACGCACGCACACACACACACACATACGCGTACGCTGGCACCTGGCACACACACACACAGAAAATCTTAGGGTAACATGCATTCTTCAAAGTTACCGCCCCTGATGTGTTTCAAATGGCGCTAAAACATATGAAAGCAATAATTAATTTGTTTGTTTTATCACCGCCCGGTATGTTTCTCTGTTAGGTCTAGCTTCAAAGCCAACAAATCGGCGATATTTGCAGCAAAAATTATCCCACTGTTCCGTCCGCTGATTTTATCCGATTGTACTCCTTTCATTCAAGTCCTCTGCCATTGCAATCGATTTGTTGTACGCAGTTGATACACTGTGGTTGTCCCCTGAAATTAAACTTGATTTTGTTAAGTATGTTTAGCTACAGGCAGCGATCCGAAAGAGGGAATTGTAAAGTGAGTCGGATGTTGGGCGGCAGGACAAATGAAAAGAGTAATCCGGCCAAAGTGGCGGGCGATCATTTTTAAGCAGGCGTGAGAAGATGGCGGTGAATAATTGAGGATGTCAAAATGGCGGGGATTAGGGTCGTGTGCAAGGGCTTGCGGTCCGCCGGTGTTTACATAGCGGGGTTAGATCACTGGCCGTCTCCATGATAAGAGGAAGCCACTTTAAAAGTGATACATTTCTGTGGGCAGGGATGCCGACAGTGAGAAAACATTTACGATTTTCCTTTAGGGAAGGGGAATTACTCAGAAACCTGATTAATAACAATAAAAATAATTTAGAGAGAGGGGGGGGGGGGGCTGAAATATTTCGGCCACATTTAAAGACATTAGACTCTTATAAAAACTACACTACGAACAGGGCCGCCTAAACGCATGGGCCCGCAGAGCACTTGTAGGGCGGCTCCCAG